ACAGAAGCTGCTGGTTTTGGTAAAATTATTTTACACAAATGTGCTGAAAATTCACACAATAGTGTGAATTTTATTTTTATATTACCTTACATTTAAAAAACAAATGCCAGATAGACACTTTTTTGTCCTTTCTGCTAATGATGAGCTATTTGAATACATGCAATTTTTTATTATTGCAATATTGATTACCTCATTGATTTTGGTTGTCGTTTGTGAAAAAGGTACCTGTTACACAAAGATGACGTTCATTTTTGGGGAATATAATGCAAATACATTTGTATAAAATAAGTCTGTGTATATTTCTGTATTATATGTAATGTATACCACTAAAAATGATAGTTTTCAGACAAAATCTAATAGCATCTGTTATTGGAAAAAAAATTAGATTTTATCACACCAACTTTACAAAGGTGCTGTGATAAAATATTCCCATATTCTTATCATTATATTCACTGAATAAGACAAAACTAGGGGAACAATGGATCAGAGTTGGCTATGATCTTTATGAACTACAGTACTTATGTTGTTCATACAGATTGAAAAAAAAAACTGGGTTGGTTCTCATCCATTCATCCTTTAGTCTATATACTCCTTGTCCTTTCTTGGTTCAAGGAAAGCTAGTGACCTAAGCTGTTTCTGGGTAATGGTGGGTACACCCTGGACAGGTTTTCAGTTCATCACAGCGCAGCACAAAGATGCACAGGAAAACAATAATGCACACACACTTATACCTATAGGCCATCTAACAGACATGTTTTCAGACTGTGGGGGGAAAACTTATAACCAGAGAGAACTGTTAGGATAATTATCATTGAAGATATGTGAGTTTATCACACCCTGGTATATAAATAACAAAACTAAAAACTAACTCTTCCTCATCCACCGCAGGTCTCTCTTTTTCCTCAACGCTCAGGTCCTCTACCAGAGGACTGGGAGCTTGAGGGTTCTGCACAGTATCTTTGCTGTTTCAAGACATTTGTGGACTGAGATGTCTGATGTATTTCCAGAGATCTGCTGTAACCATTCCTCAAGTTTGGGGGTCACTGCTCTGAGAGCCCCAAAGACCACGGGCACCACTGATGCCTCGACCTTCCAGGTTTTGTCCAGCTCTTCTCTGAGCACCTGGTATTTCTTTAGTTCCTCATGTTCCTTTTTGCAGATGTTGAAGTAATCTTTTATTGCTATGTCTACCAGAACTGCTTTTGTGAGCTCGTTCTCTACCACCACAATGTCCGATTGGTTCACCAATACCACCCTGTCCGTCTGTATGTAGGAGTGCCACAGGACCATTCTCTAAAACCTTTGGAGGCTGTTCCCACTTTAACCATGGGATTCCAACCCATACTCTGCACAGATGTTCCTGTACACTATTCCACCCACCTAGTTATGGTGTTCTATGTAACCTTCCCTGCCAGCATCCCGTGTATAGGGGCATGTCCTTCAATGACTATACATACATTCATATATATATATATATATATATATATATATATATATATATATATATATATATATATATATATATATATATATATATACATACAGGTAGGTGGGCTCAGCAGCAATTGTGTAATGATAAAGTTTGCAGTAGTACTGTCTGTGTCTATTTAAGAAAGATCAAGCAAATAGAAAAGAATGATGAACTGCGATCTACTGTGTTTGAAGTTCCTGTTTGCAGGGTTTGCTAGGTCAACGTTTCAATATAACCTGTGAGATCTGCTAAGAATTAACAGGAGCTTCCACATAAGTTGGAGAAAAAAGCCTGAAGGAGGAGGACTTGAATGAATTGGGACCAATGGGAAGAAGATGTACTGGAGAGTCACACTACGAATATTTAGTAAAGAACATGTTCAGTACAAGTCTAGATATTTCCAGCAAAACAGTGACTGAATGGGCAGAATCTGCAGTCTGAAGACTTCGCTGTGTAGGATTGTGCCAGACAGAACCACGGTGTTCCAAAGAAGAAGAATCAGGAGCAGGGTTTGTATTATGCAAATCAGAGCAGTCAGGTTTTAAAGTCTTGATCTGATGCTGTGAGGCTGCAGAAGAAGCGAAACTCCCATCAGATCATCTTCATCACCAACATGTTCTCTGTAGCTCTGCTGCTGCTGCTGGCTGCTGGATCCTGTGAGTCTGACTGAAGGAGAAACATTTACAGCATAATGATCCTAAACTGACTGTCTATGTATTGACCCTAAACCTTTTCTCTACAGATGTATCATGTGAAACTCTGACTCAGCCAGAATCTTCAACTGTGCAGCCAGGTCAACGTCTGACCATCAGATGTCAGGTCTCTTATTCTTTGGGCAGCTACTACACAGCTTGGATCAGACAGGCTGCTGGGAAAGGACTGGACTGGATTGGGATGAAACATGGTGGTGGAGCTTCATACTACAAAGATTCACTAAGGAACAAATTTAGCATAGATGTAGACACTTCCAGCAAAACAGTGACTCTGAATGGACAGAATATGCAGCCTGAAGACTCTGCTGTGTATTACTGTGCCAGACGACCACAGTGACACAAACAAGCAGCAGAGCTGTACAAAAACCCCTCAGAGCCTGAACAGTTATACCAAACTACCAGAAAAGAAGCTTTATAATGACATTCAATAAGATTGATTTGAAAAGACATAAATCTGTATAAAATATTTTTGGAATTTCAACATTGTATTAGAACAATATTTAGTATTTACCATAATTTAAAATGTACATACAGT